AAGAATGGTTTCTTTGATGATTTTTTCCAGAATCTTTCCAGGGATTGAAGTCAAGCTGATTGGCCTGTAGTTCCCTGGATCTACTTTCCTCCCTTTCTTGAAGATGGGAACCACACTGGCCTTCTTCCAATCTTCAGATACTTCATCTGAGTGCCACGAGTTTTCGAATATCTTTGCCGGTGGTGACTTTGTCAGGAACAGATGACTTGAAGGTGTCCAGTCCTGCTGGGTATAAATTCACCTTCACCCTGGCTGTCCCACATCATGCTAAGCAGAGCAGTCCCTTTGGGCTGATGAAAAACTGATGTGAACTACCCATTAAGCAGATTGGCTTTTTCCTGGGTGCCATTTGTCCCATTTGGTTTAGCAGGGGTCCAGAGTTACTCTTGCTTTTCTTCCAACTCCCCACATATCTAAAAAATGACTTTTTATTGTCCTTGATATGTGTAGCCAATTGGAGTTTGGTTGCAGCCTTGGCTTAAAATCAATTTAAGTGATCAGAAACCAGTTTAAACCTGTAACAGAACAGAAATTCAGTGCACATAAACTAGCTTGAAAATGATTTAAGATAAACCTGGTTGAACGTAGTATCACGCTTGGTTGATTTGGGTCGTGTGTGTGTGTGTGTGTGTGTGTGTGTGTATATGTGTATATATATATAGTGTGTGTGTATTGTCTTTGTGTGTGTATATATATATATATTGTGTATATATATCCAGCTCGGTATATCTTCAGCTGTGTTTATCTACAGCTTCATATATCTACATCTCTTTGTATCTACCTCTGTGCATATCTCCAGGTCTGCATATCTCCATCTTTGAAGAGCTCCAGCTTCATATATCTACCTGTATATATATGTCCAGGTCAGTATATCTTCAGCTCTGTATATATCTAGCTTCATATATCTTCATCTCTATGTATCTACCTCTCTGAATATCTCCAGCTCTGAATATCTCCAGGTGTAAATATTTCCATCTATCAATATTTCCACCTCTGAATATCTCCAGCTATTAATATCTTCACCTCGGAATATCTCCAACTCTGTATAGCTCCAGCTCTGAATAACTGCAGCGCTCAATATCTCCAGCTTTATATGTCTAGCTGTCTATATATTTGCACCTCTGCATGTGTCCACCTTCATAGATCTACATCTCTATATCTGTACCTCGCTGAATATCTCCAGCTTTGAAGAACTGCAGCTTCATATGTCGACATGTCTATATATGTCCAGATCTAGGTATCTCCTGATTCATATGCCTACATCTCTATATATGTCCAGCTCTGAATATCTCCAGCTTCATATATGTACATCTCTAGATTTCTCCAGCTCTACATATCTGCAGATTCATACCTCTACCTATTTATATATCGACCTCTCTGAATATCTCCAGCTCTGCATATCTCAAGGTCTAAATATCTTCAGCTCTGAATATCTCCAGCTCTGAATAGCTCCAGCTTTCTGTATCTACCTGTCTATATATCTCCAGCTCTGCACGTCTCCAGCTTCATAGATCTACATCTCTATATATTTACCTCTCTGAATATCTCCAGCTTCATATAGCCACCTGTATAGATATATCCAGCTCTGTCTATTTTCAGCTCTGCATATGTCCAGCTTGAAATATCGACATCTCTATATATCGACTTCTCTGAATATGTCCAGCTCTGAATATCTCCTGTTCTAAATCCTTCCAGCTATCAATATCTCCAGCTCTCAATATCTTGAGCTCTGCATTTCTCCGGATATGAATATCTCCAGCTTTATGTGTCTACCTGTCTATATATTTCCACCTCTTCATATCTCCAGCTTCATAGATCTACATCTCTATATATTTACCTCTCTGAATATCTCCAGCTTCATATAGCCACCTGTATATATATATCCAGCTCTGTCTATTTTCAGCTCTGCATATGTCCAGCTTGAAATATCGACATCTCTATATATCGACTTCTCTGAATATGTCCAGCTCTGAATATCTCCTGTTCTAAATCCTTCCAGCTATCAATATCTCCAGCTCTCAATATCTTGAGCTCTGCATTTCTCCGGATATGAATATCTCCAGCTTTATGTGTCTACCTGTCTATATATTTCCACCTCTTCATATCTCCAGCTTCATAGATCTACATCTCTATATCTGTACCTCGCTGAATATCTCCATTTTTGAATAACTCCAGCTTCTTATGTAGACATCTCTATATATGTCCAATTCTCGGTATCTCCTGATTCAGCTGCCTACATCTCTGAATATCTCCAGCTCTGAATATCTCCAGCTCTGAATATCTCCAGCTCTGAATATCTCCAGCTCTGAATATCTCCAGCTCTGAATATCTCCAGCTCTGAATATCTCCAGCTCTGAATATCTCCAGCTCTGAATATCTCCAGCTCTGAATATCTCCAGCTCTGAATATCTCCAGCTCTGAATATCTCCAGCTCTGAATATCTCCAGCTCTGAATATCTCCAGCTCTGAATATCTCCAGCTCTGAATATCTCCAGCTTCATATATGTACATCTCTAGATTCCTCCAGCTCTACATATCTCCAGATTCATACCTCTACCTATTTATATATCGACCTCTCTGAATATCTCCAGCTCTGCATATCTCAAGGTCTAAATATCTCCAGCTCTGAATAGCTCCAGCTTTCTGTATCTACCTGTCTATATATCTCCAGCTCTGCACATCTCCAGCTTCATAGATCTACATCTCTATATATCTACTTTCCTGAATATCTCCAGGTGTAAATATCTGGAGCTCTGAAGAGATCCAGCTTCATATATAGAGAGCTGTATATCTATCTATATGCAGCTCAGTATATCTTCAGCTCTGTATAGCTCCAGCTTCATATATCTACATGTCTACATATGTCGAGCTCTATATACCTCCAGATTCATCTCTCTAAATCTCTATGTATCTACCGCTCCGTATATCTGTATATATATTGTAGGGGGATTTAGGAACTTTTTGATTCGACTGGCGTGTTGCGGGACCTGTGGAAAATTGTGTGGGGATTGGGTAAAAGTCGGCCTACGCGGATGTGGTGTGTGAGGGAAATGGCGTGGGCATTTGGAAAGCTTTCTTGACGGCACGTGATGGCTTTTGCGTGGGAAAGTGGTCATTTTGTGTGGGGATTGATTTCAGCACTCTTCATGGGAATGTGCTGGGCCGGCCCCCGGGCGTCATTTCCTCGACTGCGGTGCGGTAAGCGGTGCGTGCGTTTTCATTCCCGTGAAAGTGTCTGACGAGGGTCTGCCCTTTCCCGCAGGCTCCTCCTCGTGCCCCCGTCCTTGGAGCCAGCGTCTCAGCGAGGGGCCGCAGCGTGACAGGAGCGGGACATGGGGCAGAAGGGCCCCCGGGACGTGTCGTGTCGTGTGGTGTCTGCAAGGGTCACTCTGGGCAGTCCGAGGTGTGTGCGGGGCCTGCAGCCGTCCCTTGGAAGCAGCCAAGGCCCCACGGGCGACAGGTGAGTAGGTCTTTCTGCTTTGACATGCTCAGCGGACGCTCAGCTTCTGCCTGGATGCACATCACCACGTAGCCTGCTCCAGCGCTAACACATCCAGTCATGCCAGCTCTTGCCTCTACTGCTGGCAGCACCCTCCCAAAACAATGAGCTGCACGTGGGCTGTGTGGTGGGAGAAACCTCGCTAAGGTTCGTTGTCTAGCTGTAATTTGATTGACAGACAACGCGGGTAAAGAAAGACAGCTGTTTATTTGCTCGAGCAAAGACCATAAAGCCAGCAAAAGGCAAAATGGCCCCCCCCTAAGGGTGAGGTGATCTTTTATACTTATTACAACAAGGCAAGACTTCATGGTTAACAAAAAAAAGCAATACTTGGGCGGTGCTTTTCAAATTTTTGTAACAGCATATTTCTATTAAGCTGAATTAGCACTTTTTAAAGCTAAAAGTTAAGTAACAGTAACATTATAATATGTTAGCAAAACCTTACACAGTAGTAGATACTTCTCAAGGACACAACCAGTGCACTTAGAACAATGGTTTCCCTGTCTTATCTTACTTTTTGCTGTAGCTGATTTTTCAGCACACAGACACAGAGATACTTGCTGCTTTTAACTCAGAAAATGCTTAATACAGTTAAAATGATTACTTGACACAAGCAAAGGCTTAGCTATCAATCTGCCTTGTGGTCAGCTGCATTGCTAGGCCACAGGTCATGCCTTGTATTCAGCTGTAAAGCTAATACTTCCTAATAATCTAAATTATTGTAAACCTAACAGTATGCTTATCAGAAAACTGTTCTATTTCAGGGTAATAACAAACCTGCGCACTACAACGAGCACACACACATTCATTCACACTCACACACTCACTCTCACATGAGCTCCCTGCAGGCAGGCCAATGCTGGCACCAGAGTAGCAGTGGATTCCTACCCAGGCCTCTAGCATCCAATCTCCGCTCCTTCCCCACCAGTGCTGCCTGGCTTGGCTGACACTACCAGGCAGGAATGGGACAGAGAGCTTTGCTGTGCTGGGGCAGAGCTGTGGCACTTGCAGCCCCACGGAACCAAGCTGTGCAGACTCCAGCTTGGAGGTGGGAATCAGGGCAGGGGGCTTAGTTCCCCCCCTTGCCCACTTCTCCTGCTGGACCATGCTGGGCAGGCAGGCAGGGCTCTGGCCTCTGCTGGCATGGTAGGGAACGCCAGGCAGAAGCAGCCCTGCCCACCCATCCATCTGCCTGGCATCACAGTGTTGGACTCTATCTCCCAGGCTGCCAGGCAGTGCTGGGCAGGTAGACAGGGCTGCTTCTGCCCTGTGTCCCCTACCTCACCAGCAGAAGCTGGAACCACTGCTAGGGGCCCAGTGTTGCCAGGTGTACAATAATTATCATATTTGTATGGTAATTTCAACCCTTGTTCCATGTACAATAAATAATAGTAAAAGTGTTCAAAGTTTTTGAGGCAGTTCATTCATGCAGCATATGCAAAACCCACATCATTCTCAGAAAATCTTAACTGACTTTTGGGTTTGCTGTCAGCACTTTCATATGACTGCTTGCCTTGAAATAAAGAAATGCTTCAACTTTGATGACTCGGTTCTCACTCACTCACCAGTGACGTACAGTGAGTAACATAAAGTAAATAAGAAGACTTATTTACATACTTTTCCAATGTATCTTAGTTTTTCAGCAAATATGATAATTTTGAGCTCCTAGTATGGTAATTTCACATTTAAGACCTGGCAACACTGCATGGGCCTGCTTATTGATTCTATTCAGCCCATGGGTAGGCAGCGGCTCCAGCCTCTGCTGGCTCCATGGGCAGGATAGAATCAGTTGGCAGTCCGGATACAGCCCATGAGCTGGATTTTGCCCACCCACCCCTGTTCTATAGTGTAGAATTCATCCTTGGCAACATCTGCATCACTTCATTCTGTGCTATATTTAAAAATGAAAAACCACAGTGTTTTTAAAGTGTTTGTTCTTATGGCAGCTGTTGGTTCAAGGTTTGTAATTTTTCTTCACCCAATCTCTTTTTTCCCTTCTTTTTGTACTCTTATTGTTTGCATCTGTCCTGAATATTAAAAGCGCTTGTGTTCATCATGTTTTTCTTCTATTTTAAGTTGTTTTCTGTAACTTGTTCAGCACCCTGAGTATCTTGAAGAAAAAGCAAGAACATTTTATAAATAGTTATTATAGTTTAACTATTGTAAATTTGTTCTTTAAAGGCCTGGATTCCAAAATAAGCTTAAAAAAAACCAACAATATTTTCTCTTCAACAGGGCATGACGTTTTTAAAGTGTCTTTTGTATTTCCAAATAAAGACAAGTATGGTAAGCATTGTTTGAAAGTTAATACTTACCTGTGTTGACTATAATTAAAAATGTAATTCAAGATGAAAACTTAATTTGTTGTATCAAAAAATGAAGCAGATGAAAGTTTCAGAATCAGGATGTAACACACACACAATGAGGTCTCATCCTTAAAATTTCATAGCAGTCGCAAAGGTCAGGTTTTAAGAAATGTTATTTAAGCAGGAACAGGGAATATATCTCCATGCCCTTTCTTGTTTAGTATTAAACTAAAATCCCTAATGATACATGGAGACTGATGTGAGTGAATATGTTGTCTCAGGGTTCCTACACAGAAGTGCCTAAAATTCCTAGAAAGTTATTCCAAACCTTAAGACCGATTCCCCTGAAAATATGGATTTATGCTATCATGACTTCGACTGGGAAAATGGGTTGGTACCACTTTTAGGGTGAAAACCCAGTTACACTGAAGACAGTGTAAAAGTCCCATTGACTTCACTCAGCTAGGGATTTCATTCTTAGCCTTTACTACCTAGGCTCCTGCTATCACATCTGCTTGGGAAGGCATCTATACATGTTGGAAGCTCCACTGAAGTCTGTAGAGTTCTGCTCTGACACAGCATTTTGCTTACACTCATTTGATTGCAGGGTCAGGACCATAATAAATCAGTGAGGTCAATTCAAAGTGATGCAAAATACATTTCTCTTTTAAAGCTAATCCTGCCTGCATTATAGTCATTGGTGAAATTCCCACTGACTTCAATGGTACAGGATTAGGCTCATGGTTTCAGGGATGACTACTGGACTTCCCTGTTAGTATACCTTGTTCCATGGAGTGGGTGTGGTATTGATAATAGAGAACATAGATTTGTAAAATTTAAATCCCAAAGGAACTTTTCCAATTTTCCACACAAGGAAGAAAATGGACTGAATGACCTAATAGATTATTTTTTATCTCTTACTTCTAGAAGTTTGTCAGATTAAGTCTTTTGGTTAAATATTGCCTCATTCAGAGTAGTGATTGAATTTCATTCTACTGAGAGTAATTGGGGTTTGGGAGATTACCCTTTTCCCTCGTTTGTTTTAGATGGTGAGTGTACAAGAACACCGGATGGTGTTCTCGAGAGGAATGGAAATGGAGTTCATACCACCCCAAATGGAATCACTTACAAAGGAAACTGGAAAAATGATAAGGTAAGTTTTAAGGTAACTTAAAAGAAAAATGATGAGATAACAGAACGAAAGTATTCTGTTTTTAAACTGCTTGCAAGCTTGCAACATTGACCTGGAGCAATCAGCTGGTATGAGAAAAACTAGATTTGTAGTAGAGTGTAAAAAATTAGCCTTTAGTGGCTAGCCCCTATGAACAGACAAATTATTGAATACAATTAGAAGGTAGTCCCTTCTGGCCATGTATGGTCTGGCATTGCATTCTTTTTCTCTGCTTTTAAAGAGACTGTCTGGGAAAAAAGCTCCATAAAAGTAATGTCAAGTGAAAACAATTCTATTGATTTTCATTGTCTAAAACAAAAGAAATGCAAAAAAAGTCCACTGACTATCTGTCTACAAGCAAACTGCTAAAGTTTTCTGGTAGGTGCCAGTTTGGTAGGATAGTGCTGATTTTGGGCACCTGTTGCAGATAAAAGTACAAGGCTTATGAGGAATTGGAGAGTGATGTTGACAGTGTTGTAAGCAGTATGAAAGCAAAAAGGAACACACAAGTCCTTCTTAACTTCTAATTTCCATGCTATGAACATATTAGCTGAGCAGTTTGAGTCCTGCTACATCACTTTTATCCACTGTCACTACACATCACTTCTATTTAATAACGATTAGACAGCCAGGAAGTGTGTGCTGCAAGTTGTATCCACCCCAAGTGTCTTTTCAACTGTCCAAGCCTGAAGTGTATGAAATATATGCTTTTCATAGAACCACAGGAACTAGTGCTGACGGGATCAATTCACCCCACAGCTTTATGGGATAGAGTAGTGAGGTACTATTCACATTCTTCCAAATGAGTCTTTGGAATGAGGGTTCCCTGGCTCTATCTATTCGGTATGGGTACTTAAGAGTCCCTATTTCCACTGCTTATCCTCCAGTGATTTTGATCAAAACCTGAAACATATTTGAAAGCCTTGTGTAACCAGGAGCCTGGCCTCAGAAAAGCATTACTCACCCTATCCGTTTTTATTAATAATTCAGTAAATTCAAAGAAAATATCTGAACACGTAAGTATGCATTAATGTTTACCCCTTTTCATCCTCTCACTGAACATAGATGAACGGTTTAGGGAGGCTTGAACATCCATCAGGCGCAGTTTATGAAGGCGAGTTCAAGGACAACATGTTTCATGGAACTGGAACGTACACATTTCCTAATGGAGCAAAGTACATTGGAAATTTCAATGAAAACAAGTAAGTTTAAAGCAAAAAGTCAAAAGCTGTGCTGGCTGTTCCCTACAAACTTGCTGGCTTTAATACTGAAAATATTAAATCTTTAACTAAAGTTCACCTAGCATGAGAGAAGATTTCTTTTGCTATCCTGAAAGCTTGCACTGGGTCTTCAGAGCTTGCACTGGCATCACTTACTTGCACCAGCTCAGACAAAAGTCCAATTCATTCACAGTCAATATTCCTCCTTATGCTCAGTTTTCCATTTAATTTTGTTACTGGGTTTCAGGGGTAACACCAAATTGAGAAGAATGAATCAGTTTTAGATTTTTTCATAGCAGTTATTTAAATCAGCTTGTTTGCAGACTCAAAAAAAGAAAAGATGACATTGATATATCTATGCTATTTTATTGCCTGCAAGGGCTAGATTTTTTTTAGGACAAAAATTAAAATTCTAAACTAATGTGGAAATGCTCCAGCTAAGAATGCCTACATATATACATATATATATATGTATATTAATAGCCAGAATAATGGAAAAACTGTAGTGTTGCCCTTATAAAACATTAGCTGAGTCTATTTATGTGGAGTTGTGAATAAAGGGTTTTTTATTTTGAATTAATAAGAGACTCTATGTCTCTGGAACACATACTGGTTAATGATTTTATAATCCATAACTGGACCTAATGAGAACATTGACTGTAAACATGACATTGCTGTATTCATATTTATCCTTAAATTACTTCTCATTCAAACTTGCTCCATTTTTAGGTTATTACTAGATTCTTCCAACTTTCCCCTCAGTCTAATAGTTGAAAAAGAAGCTGTAGGTTTTTTTCTGTATTGTTGATAAGAAACAGTGAAGAATTTTGAAGCAGAATAGTTTTGTTGGTGATGTAGAGAGGACAGACTACCATATTTACTCAAATTCAAGATGAGTTTCTCCCCCCTGCCTCATTCTAGATTCAAGTGCACGTGGTGGGGCAGGGCAGGTGCTGTGATTCAAATTCCAGCCCAACCTAGGTTTGGCATTGGGGCTGCAGCCCCGGCTATGCCCCCCTGCCACCTCAGCCCCACCTTTCTCTCCTCCAGCCACCTGCCCCCCCCTGGGGGTAGCAGTGGACGTAGTCTTTCTGGACTTTAGGAAGGCCTTCGACACTGTCTCACCCCATTCTCATTAAAAAAACTCGGGGACTGTGGCGTCGACACCTATACAGTCAAATGGGTCACTAACTGGCTGGAGGGCCGCACCCAGAGAGTGGTGGTGGATGGGTCTTATTCAACATGGAGGGATGTGGGCAGTGGGGTTCCACAGGGGTCGGTCCTCGAGCCCACACTGTTCAACATCTTCATCAGCGACTTGGATGAGGGGGTAAAAAGCACCCTGTTCAAATTTGCAGACGACACTAAGTTGTGGGGGGAAGTGGACACGCTAGAAGGGAGGAATAGGCTGCAATCAGACCTAGACAGGTTACAGGGGCGGGCGGATGAGAACAGGATGGGTTTCAACACTGACAAGTGCAAGGTGTTGCACCTTGGGGGGAAGAACCAGCAGCATACCTACAGGCTGGGGAACTCCCTTCTCATCAGTGCAGAGGCAGAAAAGGATCTTGGTGTCATTATTAATGCCAAAATGAACATGGGCCGACAGTGTGGGGATGTGGTCAGGAAAGCCAACCATACCTTGTCATGCATCCACAGATGCATCTCAAGCAGGTCCAAGGAGGTGATCCTCCCCTTCTATATGACATTAGTCAGGCCGTAGTTGGAGTACTGAGTCCAGTTCTGGGCACTGCACTTCAGGAGGGATGTGGACAACATGGAGAGGGTCCAGAGGAGGGCCCCCCGAGCACTACCAGGAGTGACTAGAAATAATGGTCACAAGCTGGCAGAGGGTAGATTCAGACTAGACATCAGGAGGCACTACTTCACTGTCAGGGCGGCTAGGATCTGGAACCAACTTCCAAGAGAAGTGGTCCTGGCTCCTACCCTGGGGGTCTTTAAGAGGAGGCTAGATGAACACCTCGCTGGGTCATTTGACCCCAGTACTCTTTCCTGCCATGGCAGGGGGTCAGACTTGATAATCTACTCAGGTCCCTTCCAACCCTACCAACTATGAAATTATGAAACTATGAAACTCTAGCCACCTGCCCCCACCCCCTTACCCTCCAGCTCCAGCTCTGGGCCTGGCTCCAGCCCTGCTTAAGCTCAGGACATGGAGCACATGGTCACTCCAGCCCTCACTCATCCACACAGCAGTGGCAGCAACTCCAGCCTCAATTCCTTCTGGGCAGGGACCTAACCATGTATTTCCTGTTCAGGCTGGAGGAGGGCCAGAGCCTGAGGGTAAGCAGCAGCAGGAGGTGCAGGGACTTTGTGGGGGCAGGCACCAGAGGTTGCAGGCATGGAGGTGGGGCAAGAGGTAGAAGAGGTAGGTGCTGGGGTGCAGACACCTTAGGGGGCAGGTACCAGGATGTACAGACACAAGGGAGGGCAGGTCGAGGTGGAGGCAAGTGGTGCGGAGGACAGTCAGCAAAGGGAGCAAGGTGTGGGGGACGGGCAAGAGGCAGGGGCAGGCCATTTGATTTCCACTGCCTGCTTCCCCATGACCTTCCGCCCATTGCTTCCCCTGCCACCTGCCCCCTATCACTGCTTGTCTTGCTGCAGCAGTGGTGGGGGAAGAATTTAAGATGGCCCTCCAACAATTAGATTCTATTCAAATAATAAACTTATAAATTTTCCATGTATAGAATCTAATTATTGCGGGGAGTCATCTTAAATTTCAAGTTGTCTTGGATTTGGGTAAATATAGTATATTAACACTAGAAATATGACCAGTTATAATTAAACCATCAGATAAATAGAGTACCTTTTCTTAGAATCTACTTGGATATCAAGTGTGAACCTGCAAAATTAAGCCAATTCTCAGTGTGGAAAATTATTATATTAATTTTAATGCTTTAAAGGAAAATTTTAAAGCACTAAAATAACTGTCATAAACTCAATTTAAAACTAAACTACTCAGCATCCATACTTGCTATTTGTCAGTCTTCTTTTAAAATCTGTTTTAATGATTCTGTGTGCAGTATGGTATCAAACCTGGTAAATATTCTGTGCAAATAAAATGGTGAATGCCTACTATTTTGCCAAGATTATTTGGAAAAACATTAGAGATGTTAGCTCCTGCATATTTTCTCTCAAAAGTCTTACAGTGTGGGAGGGGTTTAGGTTGTAGCCGTGTTGGTCTAAGGACATAGACAGACAAGGTTCCTTGGGTGAATTTGATATCTTTTATTAGACCAACCCAAATGGTTGGAGAATAGTTATTAAGCAAGCTTTCGGGTTCAAAAACCCTTCGTCAGGCTAAGGAAATTTCAGCAGTCGGTGTGTGCTCTTCCTGGATGGAATGAAAAGTAAAGAAGCCAGGGGCTGGGCTGGGCTGGGCTGGGGAGTCAGTTGCCAGGCAGATTGTAATGTATCAAAAATCCAGTGTCTGTGTTTAGTCCCTGATCTCTAGTATCCAGCAGGTTGATGAAATGGAGCTCGTAGACTCGTCTCTGGGAAGTGTTGTGTAAGTTTTCCTTGAGGATCAGGACTGAGAGATTGGAGAGAGAGAGGTTATTATACTGTTTGACCCAGGAAGGGTTGGAAAGTGTTGTTCTGGGTCCCTTTGAGTAAATGAGTAGAAATTATTATTAGCATTATTCCTTGATGATTAACTTCTTTATGTGTACTGGGACTCATTGTATGAGCAAAGCGTCTTGTGAGCAAAGTTCCTCTTGAGCCCCTTGAAGCTAGATTGAATCTCAGGAAAACAAACTTCCTACCTGTAAAAAAAAACAAACAAAAAGATGGACAATGGAACAAGCTGGCTAGGAAACCTGTGAAAGCTCTTTCATTGGAGATTTCCAGGAAGAGGCTAGACAGGCTTCTGTGTGGGATGCTTTAGGAATAGCACATCCTGCATCTCTCCAGAGCGTTGGACTGGATGGACCTTGAAATGTCTTTCAACCCTAGGACTCTGTCATCTCACCCAGGCTACTATGCATCTTACTTGCCTCTAAAGAATTTTTTTCTGAAGCAGCCTCTAGGCTAGGGTGTACTTTATTTACAGTTCTCCCTGACAGTCCTTTGTGGGTTATTCTGTGGAGTCTCAGGGATTCTGGTTTCCACCTTTCTGTGGATTAGCTAGAACAGGGGTCAGCAACATTTTTGGTCAGAGTGCCAAAAGCCCCCCAGCCTCAACTTGTAAGATGTTGGCGTGCCGGGGCAGACAGCAGGGGAGCTGCAAGGGGCCCAGTCCTTGTTGGGGCAGCACAGTCCCAGGCCCTTCCTTGCCCTCTGCCCCGAGGTCACCTGCCAAGCGAAATGCCTTAGTCTGACATGCATGCTGGGGGTTGCCAACCCCTGAGGTAGAAGATGACTGAATACTGAAATACCACCATACTAACTTGCTTCCCTCTGTTCTCAAGAAGAACCCCCCACCCCCAAGGCTGCTTTTAACATTTAATTTTGCATATTCAAGGAGACCTGGAACACAGACATTTCTTCACTGATGGATATGCTAATAAACTTAACTACAACTTTAAAATACAACACAGACATGCACCGAACCTCGCCAACCTCATCACCAGAAGCAAACTTCCTCAAGCCCAGAACACACCAAAAGGATCCAGACCGTGCCAGGACAAGAAATGCAAAACCTGCCAACACATCTCCACCCCCCCCACTATTACTACCCCCCACAACAGAGCCATCAGCATCCCAGGATCTTACAGCTGCACCTCCAGCAATGTAATATACCTCATCCAATGCACCAAATGCCCTGATGGAAGATATGTAGGAGAGAGCAGTCAACAACTGCACGCCAGAATGAATGCACACCGGAAATCCATCAAAGACAGAAACACTCAATTACCGGTGGGGGCACATTTCTCACAGGAGGGCCCCTCTCTCTCCAATCTCTCAGTCCTGATCCTCAAGGGAAACTTACACAACACTCCCCAGAGAGGAGCCTATGAGCTCCATTTCATCAACCTGCTGGATACTAGAGATCAGGGACTAAACATAGACCTTGGATTTTTCCCACATTACAATCTGCCTGGCAACTGGCTCCCCACCCCAGCCCAGCCCCTGGCTTCTTTACTTTTCATTCCATCCAGGAAGAGCACTCACCGACTGCTGAAACTTCCTTAGCCTGACGAAGGGTTTTTGAACCCGAAAGCTTGCTTAATAACTATTCTCCAACCATTTGGGCTGGTCTAATAAAAGATATCAAATTCACCCAAGGAACCTTGTCTGTCTATGTCCTTAGACCCACACGGCTACAACCTAAACCCCTGCAACACAGACATGCAGCTTTTGAGAAATGAATTGAAAATGACAGTTAGGAGTTTTCCCACAGGACCATGCAAAACCCTGCACTATAACAATTAATATTGTTAAAGACAGGAAAAGGAAAAGGGAAGCTGACATTGATAGCAATAGGATCATACAGTCTCATGCAGACTCTTGCAAATATACATCTTGAAGGTGCCACTATTTTATCAAAATCAGGATATGTTCTACGGAGCTTAGACCTAATGACTTCAGGTCATGATTGAGTTAGTGAAGTTGTGTCTTCCTGGGTCATTTGCTGTGAGGAAGCTGCTGAATACTCATTGCTCCAATGGGAAAGTAGATGTTGCCTGGCTGGCTTACTTCTCTTGTTGGCCCTTTTGAAGTCTTTCTGGCTTATGGGTCAGAAACTATAGACTCCCATGGGGAAGAAACTGGAGGGAGCCATTTGCTTCCTGTGGCTGGGAAGAGATGTTGGGGCCTAGTTTCGAACTCCTACTGGTCTGCTGCTCCAAATAGTTGTTCTGGAACACTTACCCAACATATTCACAGTACATTGATCTCACTCTTCTTTATGCTGCTACAGGCTGGAAGGGGAAGGAGAATTTAAAGATACACAAGGCCTGGAGTGGAGTGGCACATTTCATTACACAGCAGCACCGGGGCTGAAGCTGAAGCTGGATATGTAGCTATTTTACATGGAGAGTTAAATGTATTGTATACCATTCTTATGGGGAATTTTCACTTAGCACCCATGACCAAGGTTTTTACTAACATTTGATTTCTTAACACATTTATTAGAAATAATTTCCCAGGAGACGTTTTGTAACAAAATAAAATAAGCATTGATTTGTTCTTTTTGGTATGATCTGTAGATCATTATGTAGTTCCATTGTAGGAAATTGAATACATCAAATCTGAGACAAAAGGATGAATTTAGAATAGAGCAATAATTACTTTAATCAGGTTTTGAAAGTAATGAAATGTCTTAAAACTTAGATTGTAGTATTAATTTCAATAAATGTGAGTTTCAAAGAAAGCAGGATGCTTTAGAGCAGGGGCTGGCAAAATATGGCCTGTGGGCTGGATTGGCCTGCCATGCAATTCCATCCTGCCTGTGGGGCCCCTCCATAAGCTGTCTGGAAGCCCTGGCCCTCACTGCCCTCTGCAGACCAGTGCCTCTATGTGGGAGGTGTGGTCCTATAGATTCATAGATGTTAGGGTCGGAAGGGACCTCAATAGATCATCAAGTCCGACCCCCTGCATAGGCA